TTATCTCTACCATCAAGAAGGTCAGTAACACCATCCAATCCCCATCCACAGATCTATTTCCCGACCAAACTTTCCCAAACTTTCTCAAACTTACCGCGTGAGACCGCGTGACACATTGATACAGCTGTCGAATGTCCAACTTAAACCCAACAGCTCCAGTGGGAATGAATCCAACACCGGAAGATCCTTCACAACCCCACACCCATCAACCCAACGCCCACTACCCATACCCAACAGACCATGCTTACGCGATCCCACCACCACCACCTCATCACCACTTCAATTACGCAAACGCACCACCTCATCACAACTTCAATCAACCACTACCTTGCTCTTGGTATCCTCCTCAGGGGGGTCAATTTCTCTCTCATCCTCATCCTCCTCCCGGTGTGCATGGTGGTCCATCAAATTCCCTCGACACCGCGGCCTCTCTTGTTTACACTGGCTCCGAACATCTTACTCCTGTCCCTTTCGAACATCGTCCCTACTGGGGGCATCATACGTATCCCGCTTTTCCCAACATGTTGTCTGCTGGGTACCCAGCCCCTCCGTCTTTCCCCCTCACTACGAATCCTCTGAATCATTATCACAGTCCTTCCAACTTTCCTACTCATAACTTCCCTCCTCATGGTTTTTCTCATCCGATGAACTCGACGCACGGTGTTACCAGTGCTACGCTTCAAAAAGATACCTTTCAACCGTATCCTGTAACCACTTCGACTCCAGCTCCCACTCCAACACCCATGCCTGACCCCGCCTCGACTGATCACAACGCTACTATTGTCAATACCCAAACTACCAGCACAACGATCATTGCTCCTGTAGACAGTCTTTCAATGTCAATTGAACCCGAGGTCAATCCTACGATCAACAATCCTACAATCAACAATCCTACGATCAATGCTATGATTGAAGATGTCGAAGAAATTGTTCAGGTACCAAATGAACGAGATGATGATTGGCCAACCATTGGTCAGTTGCTATTTCAATCTTAAAACTGAGATTTCTGAGGCTAACTGTACTTTCGACATTGAAATTTTCTCTGGATATCCAGGATCACCGCCTATCCGATTACTCCAATCACCGAAGATCGGCAAAGCATTCATCGAGATGGAGAACGGCCTTATGTATATGTATGCAGTCGCACGCCATCAAGGCTATGCGCTGGCCATCAAGAGTCACAAAACTCTTAACCAACGTACTGTTAGAGTTTACTTGCGATGTTCTTTGGGTCATAAAGTTGGTAAACCTGTCAAATCTACCGCTCAGAAACGTTCGGCCTCTTCCAAGAAGACTGGGTGCCTCTATGAGGTGTCACTGAATTACCGCTCAGGGAAGGACCGATGGATTGTGTCTCAAGATGTCAAGAACCCATTCAAACACCGGCACAACCACGATCCCTTTGATCAACCTCACGACATGTCCATTTATCGACGTTTCCCTCGTCCAGTTATTTGACAAATTGACCTTCTTTCATCTATTGGCTGTCGAGCCTCCCAAATCCGCGCTCTCATCAACGTCGATCCTGGTTCTCAACCGTTGGTTCGAGATATACACAACGTTCGCTCTCGGCTCAGGGTAAACTGGCTCAACGGTCGATCTCCGGTTCAGGGTCTTTTCGACTTGATCACGGAAAGCAACTGGGCCCATCGTACACTCACATCAGACACGGGAACCCTCCAATCTCTCTTCTTTGCCAGCCCGTCCGCCATCAGTCTAGCTCGTCGATTTCCTACCGTCCTCAGTCTGGATTGTACTTACAAAGCAAATAGATTCAATCTCCCCTTGCTACACATCGTCGGTACCACCAACACGCATAAGTCTTTCACCGTAGGCATGTGTTTCATGCACAGCGAGGTCCAATCTCAATACGAGTGGGCCTTGACCCAGCTCAAAGACATCATATTTCATAACGAGGACACTTCGGCGCCTGTTCAGATGCCTCAAACCTTTTCGACCGATGCTGAACCTGCCCTTATCAACGCAATTGGAACTGTTTTTCCCGATGCCTCTCACATTCTTTGTGTATGGCACATTAACATCAACGTGGCCAAGAACTGCTAAGGCAAATTCACAGACGAACTTTGGGCCAAATTTATGAAGACTTGGAACTTATTTGTTGCCTCCAAGACCACGGCCGAATATGATGCTAACCTTGAAGCAGTTACCAAAATTGCCAAAGCGCACAACGTGTATGACTATTTGAAAAGCACTTGGCTCAATCGAACTGAAAAGTTTGTTACCCTGTTCACATCTCAAACACCTCACTTCGGAAACTCTTCGACATCTCGAGTCGAAGGAAGCCACTTCCAAGCCAAACGCTTTCTGGATGGTTGCAACAACGATTTTGTCACTTGTCTCAATTCATTCAAGCGTTTCGAGGAGCACCAAATGAGTGAAATCACTGTTGCAGTAGGTATCGAATCAACCAAAACCCTTCAAGGTCTTCCATCCTTCTTCAAAGAGCTTAACGGAAATGTATCACACTTCGCCCTCAAAAAACTCAAGGAACAGTTCAGCTTACTACCCAACTCTCTCCAGAACCCATGCTCGCACACTTTCCGAGGTGCTTGGGGCCTCCCATGTTCGCATGAAATTGCCACTGCTCGAGACAATTCAGACTTTCTTTCACCCGAAATGATTCATACCCAGTGGAAACTTTTCATGGAAGCCCCTCCTGCCACGCACGATGGACTCAAGGCAGCAGCACGTTCAAAATTTGACTTGCTTTTAGAACTGCCTGAACATGCTTTGCGCAAGCTTTTCAGCGAACTCAGTCTTTTGGAAACAAGTCGTTATGCTCTGGTTCCGATTACAAATGCCGATGTCAAGACCAACAACCGCGGACGACCTCGCGCAAACCAAGCGAAATCAGCCTCAGGTAGATTGAAATCTAATTTCAAGATTGAAGAAGCTAAAAACAAGCCTCGTGTTTTCAAGTGTAGCTATTGCAAACAAGCCAGTCACCGCATCACCACATGTCCAGCACGTTTAGCACAAGTGGCCAAAGACAAAGACGTGGACTCAGTTATATTGGCCTCGGGTTCTGGGTCTTCAGGTTTAGTATTGGATGCTACCACTGCGACATCGACACGAGTCACGGATGAGGACTCAGACACAAAGTCGGTTCTAGATCAACCTTCACCTGAATTGGAATCAGACCACAACAACCTCATGGACGATTATTCAGAATCGGAAGATGACGCTTCTTCTTCATCTGAAGATGAAGAAGGACTGTGTCCATTTTGTGACGACCCTCTCCCTGATAACCCTTCGAACAAGCTGACCAATTGGCTGGCTGAATTGTTGGCATTGCCCAATGCTTGCCAAGGTATTGGACGTTCAGGGGCTATGTCTCTACCTGTAAGTCATTTCAATATTAAACAAGTATAAGCTCTCATTTTGTTTTTCATTGTCTAACTTTCTCTCGATTTTACCAAACTCAGTTCACGCAGACTGCAGACTTTTGCCTATTACATCAAACCGAACGCGATATTATCCCGCTTGGAGTCACCAAAGGATGGCCGACCACCATTGATTTTGTAGCGTTGCCTAGGTATGTTCAGCTCATTTGAATCTATCTCATTGTTTCAAATGACCTAAGTTTTGTGTTCTTTGTGTAGCCGTATCAATCACTTTTCGCAAGTTTTGAGCAACATAGTCGACAAAGTCGAACCTTCTTCTTACCTTGATGATGCCACGAAGAAATGGAAAACGATGGGCAATCAAATGGTGGGTATAGCTGGCTTTGAGGTTGAACAACCGGGATAGTGAGTCTCGTACTTTTCATTGCTATTACTCACCTACTTACGGATATCACGAATATCATCTAATGTACTCCATGTCTCAGCTATGGTTATCAAGGATACGAAATCATCGTCCGAACCCTGGAGTCAATATTCATCAATGACAATACGTCTCAACATCATCTCAAGTTGCAAAAGACACATCCTATAACACCAGACCTGTTTTTGCGACATGTCCTCATCCCCGAACTGTCGATGTGTTTGATAGCTCAAGACCTGAAGTTGAATCGATCAGATCCAGTGGTGCGAGATACCTTGGAGAACAGCCGTTTGTTTGGTTCAGTAGTTTTTCCAATGCGGGACCAAGACAATTTGGAAAAAACACCTCCACCTCCTGAGTCGATTTTTTTACAAAAGAGTACCCTTGTCAAACCTTCAGAACAGAAGCTGTTGAAGCAACTACCACGATTCCTTGTGCCCTTTGTCAAGTCGATATACAATCCACCTGCTCGTGGGAATTGTGGCTACTGGGCCATCGCATCCGCACTCAACCTAAACGATAAAGATTCTTATGCCACTGTACGCAGGCAACTGCTGGAAGAGCTCCTCGAGTATAAAGAAGATCACGAGAAACTTATCTCAACAGGTCACGGAATGAGCAAGGGGACAAACCCTCGGCGTAGCACACGTACTACTACAATGGCTTACAAGTCTTATGCAGCTGAAATCATCAAAGATCTAATTGTTCGACTTCAACCTCAAGGGCCAACATGCACTCGAGAGTACTGGTTACGTATGCCTTACACAGGTTATGTAATTGCAAGCGCTTTCGACTGCCCTGTCATTCTTTTTGACCCGTTGGAGGTAAACTGCCGCACATTCTTTCCATATCGCACGATGCCTAACACCAAGGACCCCATTTACCTTGCTTTCGTCAATGGAGAACATTTCATCGCTATCGGAGGCGGCACAATTCCCTTCCCAGAGATGTACAGCCAATCTCTCTCGACCGCGATCAGCACAACCAATATTCCTCAGTGGATCTCACACTATCAAGTTCAGTTGGATATGTGGGCAAATCAAGTTGGATAGTAGCTTATTGCTTAATCTGCTTTTTGTTGAATCAATCGTTGTATTTCATTTTCATTGCTCTCTATGTGTTGTGTGAACTGTGGCAGATTGCCGTTTGTATCCTATGATGTATGCCCTATGCCTATGCCTTGAAATGTTATGCCACCTATGCCGAACATACATAATCATCATTTCATGCTATTATCCTTGATTTGCAATCAATACGCTATTATACATGGATTTGCGATCAATACATGAAAGAGAGAATGAAATGACATGGTCTCGATTTAATCGATGTGCGCGTTTACAAAGGTTTACATTCTTGGTCTTGGGAGCCCCAATAAAGGGGCAAAACGGGCTCGAAACGGCTGGGAGCCCGGTGTTCGGCCCGCGATGGGGCGCCGGGTATCGGACATGGGGCACTAAATAGTGGCATCCAAAAAAAAACAGGTTCGCAAAAGAACGTCTGTAAAACAAGCACCGCAAAAATACAATGTCGACACCCAAATCATTAATTTTCCGATCGAGTCTTTCCACACTTTATTCTTCGTAAAAATTCTAGCATGTAAAATTGCAGAATGTCAGGCAGTTGTATAATTTTGCTACCGTTTTCTTGTGATGTAAATAAGCGTTGTAACAGAATGTTCGCAAAAGTGTATATCTCACAAGCAATATATATTTTTACGTGCAAAATTTAACGGTCAAAAAAACCAAAAACACTAAAACAAAACGCCAAGACCCCACAGCAGAAGGAAACCACTCGGTGACAGCTCGAGTTCAAGACTTTTTACACTTTATACGTTTAGACCTCCGAGTATCGTCATTGGTATTTTCCTCTCCACAGTCTTCCTCAGCCTCCTTCACGCCTTTTTCTTTTTTAATTTCCTCTTGATCAAGGATGACCCATCCTTTCCATTTCTGTTTGGTTTGTTTAACATCGGTGGAGCGCACTAAAAATAAACCAAGAAGCAATTAATTGACATATGAAATGGTTCGTCGAAAATGTTGCTCACCTCTTTTAGCTTGCAATTCAACAATTGGCACAGTCACTTCTTCTTCTTCAACGTAGTTGTCTATCTTTTCCGGCACTTTAATTTCTTCTTTGTTTGATTTCTTCTGGATCCATTTTCTTTTTACGTTTTTTTGGTTTCTCGTTTGTGGAGCGTGCTACAAGCAAACAAAGAACAAATTATTTTACATATGAAAGAGTCAGTCAGCGCTTGTGCTCACCTCTTTTAGGTCAAGATTCAACGATTGGAGCAGTGATTTCTTCTTCTTTGATGAGGTTGTGTATCTTTTCCGGCACTTTAAGGTCGTATTCTTCTTCATTATTTGAGGCAACCGCATCAGAAAAAGAATCTTTGAGCTGTTCCGACAATGCAGCTTGCTCAAAGTCCTCTTCATCCGAATCAACAACGATGTATTCATGGGTTTCAGCGAGCTTTACCTTTGGGCGTTTCTTGGACTTAGTCTCTTTGGTGACGGCTGAGTGAGAGCAACCAACAAATAAGAACGAGAAAACAAAGTTTGAAAACATATAGTTGCTCACCTTCTTTAACTGGCTCATCTTTCTCAGTTCCATCTTCGTCGGCATCAATTCGTGACTGTGAAAAAGGCCAATCTACTACAGTCTTGCTCCCAATTGACTTATTGATTTTGCCTTCTGCATCCTTCAGGATCAATAATTCTTCCTCCGTAGGAGCGCGAGAATACATCACCCATGATGTACTAGGCAATGCACCTCCAATAGTATCCAGCTCTCTAGAAACCAAACATGCAATCCCATTGTTTTCCAGGTCATTGTTCAGCCACACACCGGTAAGACCGCCCACTGTCCGCACAACCTTACACCAATAGTGCCCACCTTTCCAGTAACCTCGTGCGCGCATTCGGTATGTAATTCCAGAGAGGATCAATTTGTAGGGTAGATCACATTCACCCTGCATCTTAGATACTTCCGCCGGCCGTGTTGCCAATAAGTATGCAATGTCGAGGTTAATATTGAGATGAGGAGGAGGAGGATCCAAGACAAGTCGACTTTGTTCTTTGAAACGGATCCCCTTACAGGTTCTACAGTGCCTTCCTGAATTGCGTTGAATCCCGTCCTCAGAAGCCCGTTGGGTGAGAAGAGAGCCTGTTTGTGAGTAAGAAAACTCAGTGCCAAAGAACGTATGATCTAAACATATGCTGTTTATATGCTGAGTTTTGGCAAGGCCATGTGAGGAATTTTGAGGGCAGTCCAAGTCCCGCTTGAGGTTGAGGCAAAAAAGCACCTGTGTCATAACTGGAGACACAGGCTTTCCCGCTCGAGTTTCACGATCAAAAATCCCATGGAAATACTGATCCGCTGAGGCATATTGGTCGGGTACAAAGCTTCCAGGACACCGCAGAGAGATAGCGGTGTGCAGGGAATTTTGACCCACAGATAATATTGTCCGTATATTGCCATTCTGGCTCATTTCCCACGTAGACCGTGAAGAAAACAGATTCATGAGTTTAAAAAAAACGTGACCAGATTTTCCTTTGGAACGGCTGTACCACAGGGGGGTATGTAGTGCATACAAGCACTCGGTGATTGAATCCAGCCAACACCGATTTTTCCTACCCGGCGTAGCAGAGGCAACAAAGCCTTGGTACGTGGTCACTGGATTGCGATCCACATTGCGAGACCCTTTAGGCCTTCCCAGCTTCTTGCGACCAAGCAAGGCGTCCGTGGTATCTGGAGGCCTCCCATCATTCTTGAAGGATCAAGGGTTCCGTGACTTCTTCGCCCATCCAAGGGCCTGAGCTACCTTCTTGTAGTTCTTAGCCTGGCTACCATGCTCGATAGGAATTCCCTTACGCCGGTCTTCGTGGTCTCTTTCGAGACACTTGACAAAAGCGTACAACTGAACCAGACCAATTTGAACGGAGCATTTCCCTTCACTGTAAAATTGCAAGTGAACAAAGGATTGATTAAAGGTTTAAAATTAAATCAAATGACCTACGATATCATGTAATATACACGATGCATGGCCTCCTGTGCATTCGTTGTTGCCGGCAAGTCCCCACTTCCTTTGAAAAGCATGGCCTTTATGTCCGAAGCCTGCCACCATTCGAGCCACTTTTTTGCTTTAGGGAAAGCCTTTCGTAATCTAGTGATTTTTTGATCAAATGTCAAGCCGCCAGGTTTTGACTCCTTCAGAAGGTCTGATGCGTCATGTTCAAATGTCTCCTGCAAAGTAAACCATTGCTTTTAATTAGATTCACGAGTTCAATCATACTGACATGTATCAAACATCTTGTCATACGTACCTCGTCCCCTGCAGGTATAATGGCACAGTTCCTCTTCACACGGGTCACCTGCGCTCGAAAATGTTCATGGCACCCTTTGATCTTATCCAGTGCAACCGAACGGTCATTCTCTCGAAAAACCTTCATATACGCCATGATAAATCCATTTTTCTGCGCCGCAGAGAAATCGACAACCTGACGCACGAGTGTATCACGTTCTTCAGTGTCAGCGTCTCGAATTTGTTTCATTAGAGTTGTGAAGTGGGCAGCGTAGTGGTTTTTGGTGAGGCCATTCAACCAAGTAAGTTGGATTGGAATCCATCGTCGCAGGTCGTCGTGATACATTGAGGTGGAGAGAAGATATCCACTTGCAAAAAAATTATATGTGGCATCGGAAAGTAGGCCACCAGAATATATTTCCTTGTTTTCATCGCGAGTCAATAGCTGCTCTCCCATCCACTGTGTTTGAAAAGTCATGTGGATCTTTTCGAGTCGAAATGAGCAGGAGATCATCCCTCAAACCTTGCCTGAGAGAGGAAAATGTTAGCGATGTTTTGACTAAAGCCAAATGAGAAGCACTCACTCGGCCCAGTGAATCATGTCCATGATAAAGCTGTCACCGGTTCCTGGAGCCGACTTGGCAGGTATAACCCCAGCTTTCTCAAGAAGCTTTCGCCGATAATAACCAAGGCGATGAAGGTTTGAAAAGCCATGATGAATGTTTGACACCATGACAATCTCCTTTTGGCCTGCAGGAGCACGTCCGACCTGGTGATTGATTGATTGATTATGATGGAATGTTGGTGGTCAGTACCTTCTTGCCACGGGTATCAGATCAAGGACACCTACTTTGTGTCGTAATGGCGCCAAATCCGGATTGTCCTCACATCTTTTGCCAAACTTTGCCTGAGACAGTTTATCTGGCTTCCCTCTTCAAGGCCATTGATGATGGTGGATGCCAGCGTGTCGAATGATCCCCCAGCCGTTACGATGCTCGTCCATGCGACATAAAGTGTTCGCACATTTGATGTGTTTAAGATTACCATCACACCTAACAGCTTGACACTTCTTAGTTCTAGAGATGAAAAAGGCTTATTAGAATTATTTCTTACGCGCACAAAAAGGCAGGATCCATAACTCACTTTTCATGATATTCGTCTCTCTTGTCTTTTGCTGTGGGAGGCGAGCCGAGAAAGTCGCAATCGGGATTGGTACATTCTATTACACCTAAGCATGTGAATCTGACTGTTCGCCAGGTGGCGGTATTCCCCTTCGTGCCCCCTCCGGCAGTCGTATACGTGAATGCAAACGTACCCCAGTTAGTGATCTTGGGTTGGTCTGGCTGCCTGACATAGACCGTATTTCCGTTTGGAAGTATCGGGTATCCTTCGTCGTCAATGGTGGTGCCCTCGTCTATGAAAGTTTCGAACGCGGCGTGGTCATGTGGCAAGGCAAAAGTCTTTTTGCCCTTGATGCCCTTTTTCTTCGATTGATTTTTTGATGGAGGTGAAGTTGTAGTTTCCTCGGAATGATCATGGGGAACAATCATGTCATAATCTTCTTTGTCATAGGGGTCGACATTGAATTCTTCTTGATCATCGAAAATGGCATCATTTTGCTTTTCGTAATGATCTTCTTTGTCATAAAGATCGACATCAATTCCTTCTTGTGATTCATCATAATAAAAGGCTGGTTCTTGTGGTTCATCATTGAACAAGGCTTGTTTTGAATTTTCACTATAGCCTGCTTCGGAGTCAAGATCGTCTTCAAAGTCATACATATCTTCCGAATTGCTGCTCATTTTGTGTGAGTTGATTTAAAGAAATTCAACAGTAATTGATTTAAAGAAATTCAACAGTAATTTTGCAATGTTTCGATGTGAAGTGATAGTCAAGATCAGGCTTTAGGCAAGTTTAACAGCAAAAGTGAAGCGACCAAAAGGAAGAAACAATTTTTTGATGGAACGTTGTGATAATGATCACACACGGCCCATTTCTTGTTTGACAGCTTCTTTTGGCACGGTGTGTTTCCTGGTTACCCATTTAATCGAGTTCAAATGGTCATTTGGTTTCTTGGTTCAAAATATCTTTTCGGATTGGTTGGAACTCATTCGGATCAAAAACGTCTGATCAAAAAGGTGATTTGGATTCGATGTGGTGCCTGTTGTCATGGAGAACAGGGTGGGTGGACTCTTTGAGTTCTCTTTTGAGCGACTTTGCTATACAAAGACGTTGGAAGAGGGACCAAGACATCAATCCTTGGTGGATTGGTATCGTAAACATCAATCTGTCATGGATTGGAAAGCATCAATCCATTTGGGATTGGAATACATCAATCCGTTTTGGATTGGAAGGAATTCGATCGGAATGTGGACTTTTCAGGTGATTAGTTGTGATGTCTGCAAGAGATGTCTTGTAAAATTAAAGAATATCGAAGTTTCTTTTATTTTTCAAACGTAAATCAGACCCGAACATTGTTGGTTGTAAATGTTTGGTTGTAAATTTCAACATAGTATGTACAAGTATATAATTTTCAGATCCTTTTTTTCCGAATGTCTTTCTTACGAACAACTTTTTTTTTGGAATGTATGGAAAAATAAAGATTACCCCGGAAAACTTTAATTTT